TGTCTCCATGTCAGAAATAATGCCACACTTAGTGTCTTACACAATCCTCCTCAGTCACCCCACAAGCTGAAGTGCAGGATAACCCCGAACACCACAGACATCTGAAACAATGATATTGGCACCCCGCAGTCACTCCCAGAGCCGGCTGACAAAGGAAAACTTGCTGCAGTTATTCACAGACTCCAAACCATCTTGGTACAGGCATCCCACCACACCACCAGCAAAACTCACTGGAACACAGTACCAGAACACCAGCTGCAAACAAGTTGTGACCACTCCAGAAAACCTGACCAAATCAGACAGTTCAGCTGTGTCACTTCGTTCTGCCACCACCCTGCACTTTTTATGTAACAAGGCAGAGAAAGGGAGACTCTCCTTTTTCAGATCCACAGGCACTGGCAATTAAGTTGTTTTGTAGAATAGGGTTAGAATTTAAATCACAAGCTGGGGATGTGAAATAGGTAAGATGCAAGACAACAATGTGCTGCTTCTACATAAGAATATGATCAGCTGGACAAACATACGATGAGGAGGAACGACCTAAATCAGAAGAAAGAGCTTTGGACCCGCAGTTAATCATGTATTAGTCATCAAAGGACAATTTTAAATAACAAAACAAACAAAAAAAAGAAAAAAAAGAAAAAATAAACAAAAAAACCAAACATCCCACTACCAAGAACACTCAAAACTCTCCCAAATCCCCGTTATACTAGAAAGAAGCTACAAAAAAGAAAATGTCTCCACAATATCTCTAATTTTCAAGGTGTCTCTACCAATGCCAAAGAATTCAAAGCTCCAGCAACTTCCTGGATTCAGCAATGCCTATAAACTGGTTGTTACCTGCTCCTGAATTAATGAAGCACTTCATAAACATTCTTCTCCTTAAAATATATATACCTCAGAAATCATAATACATTGAAATGGACAGGATTTTTAGCAAAAGGATAAAAACACATCTGATACACAAAGAAAAAGGACTAATGGTAGTACAAGAGCTACTAGAAAAAATATGCAGGAATATGAGTTGTCCTTTTCTGTAAAAAGTATGCATATATTTTGTTTTAAATTTATATTTCCACAGTATGATAGAAAAGATGCATCTGGAAATCTGAAGAACAGTAACCTCAGCTATCTTAAAGCCTAATCAACTTCTAACTGCAACAAGCCTCCATGTAGTATTAAATAAGAAAAAGTTTTTGCAAATGGACATGCTATATGAAAGAATTTTCTCTGCTTTATACTCAGTATTCCTGGTACATAATAAATCATACTAAGTAAAATAATTCCCCAGGATATTGTAGTATTCTCTCCTTTTCTGAGATTACCCTACCCTGACAGTCAGATTAAAGTGCTAAGACAATTTCTGTACTAATCCTTGGAAATTCTTTTTACCTGAAAAACACCTAAGATACCATTGAATCCTGTGGCAAACTTTGAGCCAAGAGAAATATTAACATTTTGTCTTATCTGACTTTGTTAAGTGCAGATTTAAATTGTCTATATGCAGAGGGCTTTAGAAGAATCACTGAAACAAAATAAAATTAAAAAAACTCTTCATAAGACTCTTGGATAAATTCAAAGACTGTAAGAGATGGAGCACCAGATGTGAAGCAGGGTAGATGGGTAGAAGAGCTTACTTAAGAGGGTCAGAGGGTGTACAGGATCACAACAGGACAGCTAAAGAGCTCACAGTAAAAGACACATGTGCTACAATGACTGAAACACTAAAATAGAACCTATTGATTTGGCTGTTGTTTTAAGCTGAAAGAGAAGAGGACAGAAGGCTCCCTTTGAGCATGGCAGTGCCATGAGCCACTGCATAGCTGGCATAGCCCCTCAGTGTTAAAAAAAAAAACAAACTTCCTGACTCTTAACATGTTAAGGCAACAGTTTGGCAGATAGAGCAAAGAATTTTTTGTCACCAGGTAGCCTCACACACAGCAGAATTACTGTGCTCTGTCCAACCTCCTGTGCACACAGAGGAGGAAGAAGTCTGATGCCAGAATTAACATAAACCAGCAACAGGTCTGTGTCATGGGTTCTGCATTCAAAAAATTCAAGTGATATCTGAAGCTTAATTTTCTGTCCTTGAAGCTGTTGTAGTGCCTTCTGATTCTGGAGGAAGCATTTTGGAGCAGACCTTCTCTCCATGCCTGTCCCAAATTCGGAACAGGAAAAGAGAGAACCTGAGCTTTTGTTGATCAGACATAAATTTTACTTTGCCATTTGCATTAACCACAGTTTTGTACTAGTAAAAGAAGCGGATGGATGGAAAAGCACATCATCATGTCAGCATCTCACAAACAGAACACTTTCCCAGCAAGTCTCTCTACACAGCCTTCACAATTACATTAGCAGTATTCTGCATTTTCAAAGCCAGGAAAGAATGATATCCTTAAAACATAAATTCATATAACTTCTGAAAGAGAGGGAACAAGCTATCAAACTTAAAAACTAAAATCATGTAAAAAAACCTCAAAACTTTGAACTTCTAGATGATTTTTTAAATGCTAATACAGTCAGTAAGTACAAGTAAGTGAGTGGTGTCTGAAAAACTGTGTTTAAAGTGGTTTACTATTCTTCACTTACGCATCTTCTTGATTTGTGACCTTTCTTAATTAAAAAATTGAGTAAAACATATGGAAACTTCATGATAAAAAGTGACTTGAACTTTTCACAGACTGCCATCAGCTCCCACCATTCTGCCACATAAATCTGCTAAGAAAATTTTTTCAAAGATCAGTTAAAAATAAAACAACTACAGGTTGAGAGAGGTCAAAATGAAGAATCTCTTGGAGATACATCTTTCTGGTTTGGCTGTCTGTATACTACATATTATGTTAAAGACTTAAGAACAGCTGCAGCTAACGACAGTCTGGCATGGCAATAAGGAAGGAAAATTTTGTATTCCGTTTTAGGAAAGAAATATGGCACTTCTGCCACAGCAGAAAGATTCAAAAGTGGAATGAGTGTCAGAATAGGATCTCATTCAGAAAGCCTCTTGCATTTCATTAGCTCTGAAAGGTGCATGACTGACAGATCCAGAAACAATGTTGTATTTTCTACCCAATACAAGTTTGACACAACTGGAAGATATGCCCCAGAAATTTCACTGCCTATGTACTTCACTTCTGACTTACAGAGAGGCCAATTCACACTTTAATCTTAAATTCCTTGTTATCTTTATTAAAACTGTCAAGAAGGGAAAAAATTTGTTCCAAAAAGGAGGAAATTCTCAGATACCATCAGCCACCTGACCACAATAAATCAAAGAAAAATCATCAGGCTGTTTTACCAAACCACCATATAACAATTCCCAATGAGTATAAATCTCGATGTCATCCAAACTACCCATTCTTTATGCCGAATGATCAGCCACTAAGCCCCATAAGACTGCAATCTCCACCTCACTATCTTCTTTTATGTTTTTCTGATGTTTACTTCCTTTCTTTCCTACAGCTCTCTTTCCTACCAGTCCTGCATATACCCAGCACAGTACATTGAAAAATAGAAAAAGGGATTGGAATGTTTGAGAAGCGTTTTCCAAAGCTGCTGACAGATGTCCCTGCAAGGAAAACTGGAGTGAATAAAGCCACTAAACACCTAAGAAGTGGAGAAAAAGTAATCTGCTTAAAGTGCATCTAAGAGGACTTCATTAAGAAACCTTTGTAACAGTAAGGGCAATGGAACACTAAACCAACTGAGACTGAGATCAACTCAGTATTTTGTTTAGCCTATATAATTTCAGAAATTCACAGAAGACGTCATTTTGATCCGGCATAGAAAGGGGAAAGGATCATCTCTTACCTTCCCTTTTGATTTCAGAATTGGAAAACTAAATTATTTAATTCCTTCAGGAGAACATATCTGAGAAAATATGTTGAGTACAACACAAAAAAAGAAATTCTTTTAAATTTCTTTGTGAGAAAGTCTACAATTTTGCTTACTACTTGAGCTAAGCTTCTAAGACTTTGTGCATGAGTATGTACTGTAAATGCTGCAAGAAATGTACCTCAAACACATTTAAATTTTGGCAAACACAGCTTGATATTGATAAATATGCAGACCTGCATCATCTTAAAGGTACTATCATTAAGGACTAAGAAGGAAATAACAGATACTTTAACAATACAGAAAGAAATGCTTTGCCGTTTTGGTGATCCTTAAACATCAACAGACATGCATCTCAATATACAAATATATTTCACTATCACATATGTTCACTTGAGCCAAAATTCTCAAGTTTTATTCAGTTTTACTCTTTCAGGCACTAAAGCACTAGACTAGGTAAATATCTGCAGTCTTGTCTTTTTGTAGCACTGGACTCAAGCAGATCAGACTCAACCATTTCTCCTGTAATGCTGGTGACTAAAAAAGGACATGTATCTCCCGATCTACCAATTTTCCACCAACTTTCCTCCCTCCCAGTATTTCTGATTAAATTACCCCATCTGGGGTTTTTGCACTTAATAAGCCTGCTGCTTCCCCGGCCACCAGTAGTACATGGCTTCTAGATCCATGGGTGAGGTAAAGTGCTCATTTAATCAAACAATGGCAGAAACATCTCATCAGAGGCTGATCAGGTATCTGCGCTAAGAATCTTTACACCAAGTACAAACATAAGCAATCAGAGTTGAAAATCTGCAGTAGATGAGAGACAACACCAAAATGGAGGCTAAAGCCTACCGTGGTTTCCCTCGGCTGCAGCCTTTCCGCTCTTTCCTCTTTTCACTGTGTTCCAAAATAAATCCTCCCACCAGCAGAAAGCAATTATCACTGTTATTTTTAGACACCACCTCCCATGCACTTCCTGACATTTTCTATAATAAAGTGATGCCTCTGCTGATTGTGAAAGAAATAACTCACACTAGGAAGGAGCCGGACATCCTACCAATGGCCAGGAGGCAAGATTAAAACCCACACAGTACCAAAAGCATTTTTTCCTGACAAGTTCAGCCCTGTCCCATCTGCTGATTGTTGCAATCCCTAGTTAAATGTACCTGCATCTCCTGAAGTGTTACACAAGGAGCTTAAGTACTCAGGTCTGTGGTTTCTTGCTTGTAGCAGCTTCCTATCTACTCCGTGCAGCAGGGCAGAGCACAGAGGTCATGAGGCTCCCTCCACGCATACAAATGCTACTTCTTCACAGAGCATGAAAAACCTGAGATCAAGGCTTACACTGCAGGAGCTGCCAGAGAAACACAAATAAATAGACCTCAAAGAGCATCCATGATACATCAGAGTCTTTGCATCTGTATTTTCTTTAGTGGCTACTTCTGTACCCAGTGACTTTGCATCCATAGCACATCTACTAAGATGTGCTCAAAACACACACAGAGGCAGAATACCTTGAGGGACATTGAAATATGAAAAACTTTAAATTTTCACTTTGACAAGTCACAAACAGTGAAATGTGTTCAGACAAACATACCACCAAATACAAAATACATCAATTTTCTAAGAAAAATTGAGAAGTTTAAGTAAATTGTACAATATACAATTTACATATAAATATAATTTATATATTATATTATATCATATCATATCATATCATATTATATTATATTATATTATATTATATTATATTATATTATATTATATTATATTATTTGTAAAAATTAACTGAGCTGCCTTTTCAAGCCATAGCTTGTGAAGCCATTTTTCCTTTTCCATCCTTGATCAAATGACTCTCCACAAGCGGTCTTTAAACATAATCAGGTTAATCGAAAAGTTAATCAAAAGCATCAAAGAACAATAAAAGCAAATCATGACATCATGCATAGAGAAATACAAATTAGTGCACAATGATCTCTCTTCTTCTTTTACATGAAATGGATATACTCAAGTAATTTCTTTATAAAGTTAAGAAATCAGATATTAAGCATCTTTCTTCTTCCAAATAGTAAGTATTTTCTCTCAGCAAGAACCAGAAGCCTAAATTTTAGATTTCTTTCCTGCAAGCTTATACTGCAACAGAATTTGACTCTTCCTGATCATTGTTAATTTCAGCAAAATATGGAACATTTGTAATTTACCATATTTAAACTTTATTCAATACAAACCACTAGGGTACTCATAACTGCTTAGGGGGTTACCAATCAGGGACAATTTGCTCAGATTGAAGTGAGACAATGACAGGCAGCAGTTTTCACTCCTGTGCTAAAAACAGAGACAAACCCCTCCCAAATCAAGCAAGAAGCTTTTCTCTTCAGCTTACTTCCCTTTCTAGCCAAGCTTCTTTCAGCTCTTTCAATATCTGTTACCAGTGTAGCAGAAAGAATAAGTAGTTTTCTTGTGCAGACAACTAACCTGGGCATCTCTAGATGCACACAGGCACTATCTACATTTTTCTTCCTAGTTGTTTCACTTGTAGAGCTAGGAAGATTCAGCAAATACATCCACACTGACATTTTCCTTTTCATTTAATATTTATTCTTCAATTTTTATATTCCTGAGTACCCTGTGTCCGTTTTAATGACCAGATATTATTATAATGAAAATTAAGGCTTTTATGAGAAATTAAATCTCAGAGGAAACAGGCAGGAGAACATGAGATGCCTTTGGAAATGGTGTCAATCAAATGATGGCAACACTTCTGTTTCACTTGTTGCAAAGTTAAAATTTCAAATATCAATGGGAGGGCCTGAATTTCCAGCCCAGGTTTGATTTACCAACATGTATTAGCCACAGAATAGTTCAGGTTGAAAGGGATCTCAAAGACCTCCTAGTTTCTATCCCTGCCATGAACAGGGACATCTTTCATGATACCAAGTTGCTCAGAACCCCATCCACAATGGCCCTGAACACTTCCAGGAATGGAGCATCCACAATTTCTCTGGGCAGCCTGTTCCAGTGCCTCACCACCATCACAGTAAAGAATTTTTTCCTAAATTCTAATCTAAACCTACTCTGCTTCATTGTAAGACCTCCACTTGCCCCTTGTCTTGTCAATACATGTCTTGTAAGGCTTTCCTCTCCATCTTTCTTGTAGCTCCTTCAGGAAAGGCAAGGCCACAATTAGGTGACTCCAAAGCCTTTTCTTCTCCAGGTTGAACAACCCAAATTCTTTCAGTCTTTCATCATGTAAGAGGTGTTCCATCCCTCTGATCATCTTGGCGGCCTCCTGTGGATTTGCTCTGATAGATCCAAGGCTGGCAGGCAGGAAGGCGGGAGGGAGGAAGGGTGGGAGGGAGGGAGGAAGG